GTGAGAGGCCCACATACCGCAAAAAAAAAAAAAAGAATAGAGAGCCCAGAAATGGGCCAACACAAATACAGTCAACTGATCTTTTGTCAAAGGAGCAAAGATAATCCAATGGAGAAAGGATGGTCTTTTCAACCAATGGTGACAGAGTAACATCTACATCCAAAGAAATGAATCTAGACACAGAACTTACACCCTTCACAAAAATTAACTCAAAATGGACCACAGACTGAAACGTAAAATACAAAACTATAAAACTTGTAGAAGAAAAGATAGGAGAAAATCTAGGTGACTTTGGGTTTGGTGATAAATTTTTAGTTGCAACACCAAAAGCAGGATCCAAAGAAAAAAATTTGAACTTTATTAAAACTGAAAACTTATGCTATATGAAAGACTCCGTTAATAGGATGAAAAAACAAGCCACAGGCTGGAAGAATATATTTGCAAACACATATCAGATGAAGGTGTCGTATACAAAATACCCAAAGAACTCTTAAAACTCAACAATATGGGCTTCTCTGGTGGTGCAGTGGTTGAGAGTCTGCCTGCCAATGCAGGGGACACGGGTTCGTGCCCCGGTCCGGGAAGATCCCACATGCCACAGAGCGGCTGGGCCCGTGAGCCATGGCCACTGAGCCTGCGCATCCGGAGCCTGTGCTCCACAACGGGAGAGGCCACAACAGTGAGAGGCCCGCATACCGCCAAAAAAAAAAAAAAACAACTCAACAATAAGAAAACAAACAACTCAATTAAAAAGTAGGCAAAATATCTGAAGAGATACGTCACCAAATAAAATATGTAGATGGAAAATAAGCATGTGAAAAGATGCTCCACATCATGTCATTAGGGAAATGTAAATTAAAACAACGAGATACTACTACATGTCTATTAGAATGACTAACATTCAAAATACTGACACCACCAAATGTTGACAAGGATGTGGAACAACAGGAACTCTTATTCACTGCCTGTGGGAATGTAAAATGGTACAATCACTTTGGAAGATAGTTTAGCAGTTTATTGCAAGCTAAACATAGTCTTACCATACAATCCAGCGATTGTGCTCCGAAGTATTTATCCAAATGGGCAGGAAGTACGTCCATACAAACACATGCACACAAATGTTTATAGCAGCTTTAGTCATAATTGCTGAAACTTGGAAACCACCTATGTGTCTTTCAGTAGGTAAATGGATAAACAAACTGTGGTACATACATACAATAAATATAGTTCAGAAATAAAAAGGAATGAGTTATCAAACCAGAAAGACATGGAGGAAACTTAAATGTATACTGTTAAGTGGAAGAAGCCAGTCTAAAAAGACCACATACTGTATGATTACAACTATATAACATTCTGGAAAAGGCAACACTATGGAGTCAGAAAAAAAAAAAAATCAGTGGTTGCCAGAGGGTCAGCAGGGGAAAAAAAGTGTGTTGAAGGGATGAATAAGTGCAATACAGAAGATTTTTAAGGCAATGAAAGTATTCTGTATGATACTGTAACGGGAGATACGTGACTTTATGTTTTCATAACAACTCATAGAACTGTATGTACAACACAAAAAGTGTACCCTAACATAAACTATGGACTTTAGTTAAAAATAATGTAACCAATATTGGTTCAATTGTAATAAATGTACTACTACTGCAAGATGTTAATAATAAGAGAATCTATAGTATCTGTGAATACGTGTGTGGTTGGGGGTGGTGGTATATGAGAATTCTGTCCTTTTTGCTCACTTTTTCTATAAACCTATAACAACCACTTTAAAAGTAAAGTCAATGAATACAAATAAATAAGAACAAAAAGAGAAAGTAAAAACATTCTCACCTGCATAAAACACAAAAAAACAACCCCAAACAAACACTCCTTTGAGAATAATGTAAGTCATGAAGGTTCTATCCAGAAAACCGTACAAAAGTAAATACTCATAAAATTGTGAATGCAATTTCATAAGGCTCACAGTATCCCACAGCCCACCCATAATCTCTATATACCCAGGTTTATAACCTCTAAGTTAAGGAGAATAAAACATGAATTTCTTATTTTTTTATTTTACAAATTTTTTTTTTTTTTTTTTTTTTTGCAGTACGTGGGCCTCTCACTGTTGTGGCCTCTCCCGTTGTGGAGCACAGGCTCCAGACACGCAGGCTCAGCGGCCATGGCTCACGGGCCCAGACACTCCGCGGCATGTGGGATCTTCCCGGACCGGGGCACGAACCCGCGTCCCCTGCATCGGCAGGCGGACTCTCAACCACTGCGCCACCAGGGAAGCCCCTATTTTACAAATTTTTAACTTTTATAATTGACAAAATATTTATAACCTAAAAATACTGACTTCTTTTAGCTTTAAACAAAGCAATTAATTCTGTACTAATTAAGCCATATAGTCCTCAAACTAATAATGCTACTTTTTCATCCATAATTTATGCCATCAATTAAAGATTATCAAACTTACATAATAAAATAAAATTTTGAAACAATTAACTTGCTACTTTTTTTTTTCTTTACTCTGGATTAACTATTCACTATTAAGTCATTTCTAATTCACTAAATAAATTTCACAGGTAGAAAAAAAAACTTACCTGCAAAATGGGAAAAGTAGCAGTGGTTATGCCCATTTTGTGTAAATTTAACAGCATTTCACTTCCACTCCATACTTTACAGGATGATTCATAACCCCTTTCCACAAGATGTTCAGAGTTTGCTTCTAACCAACTGGAATAAAATAAAACAATTCCATCAACCAGTATCATCCTTATGTGCACTACTTCAACAGAGCTAAGAGAAATGTGATACACTGAAGCTCTGAGCACATATACGTGGATTAATTAAGACACATTTTTTTTATTTATTTATTTATTTATTTATTTATTTATTTATTTTTGGGGTGCACGGGCCTCTCACTGCTGTGGCCTTTCCCGTTGCAAAGCACGGGCTCTGGATGCGCAGGCTCAGCAGCCATGGCTCACGGGCCCAGCCACTCCGCGGCATGTGGGATCTTCCTGTACCGGGGCACAAACCCACGTCCCCTGCATCGGCAGGCGGACTCTCAACCACTGCGCCACCAGGGAAGACCAAGACACATTTTTAATAACATGCATGTTTCACACTGCAAAATAAATATACAGCTAAAAAAGTAAGCTTTTACTCAAAAAAGAGAAAGATGCATGTGGTTCCCCATTTGTGTTTTGTGGATTCACACTGCTTTACTTGTCTGTCTCTCCAATTGACAGTCAGCTCTCAGGAGCTTATCCCAAATGCACATAAAAGGAAATACAAATAAGCCTAATAGGGATTTCCCTGGTGGCACAGTGGTTAAGAATCCGCCTGCCCATGCAGGGGACATGGGTTCAAGCCCTGGTCCGGGAAGGTCCCACATGCTGCGGGTCAACTAAGCCTGCATGCCACAACTACTGAGCCTGTGCTCTAGAGCCCATGAGCCACAACTACTGGGCCTGCATGCCCCAATTACTGAAGCCCGTGTGCCTAGAGCCCGTGCTCTGCAACAAGCCACCTCAGTGAGAAGCCAGTGCACTGCAACCAAGAGTAGCCCATGCTCGCCGCAACTAGAGAAAGCCCGCGCGCAGCAACGAAGACCCAACACAGCCTAAAATAAAATAAATAAATAAATAAATAAATAAAAATTTAAAAGCCTAATAAAAAGATTATAGTGTTAAATATTAACACAAAAAAGAGAATTACTAGAAAAAATATATATTCATTTACACGCGCGCACACACACACACACACACACACACAGACATTTGTACATTCAGTGAGTGCTTATGCCTATATTATGCCAGACACTATACTGGCTAGTGGAAATACAGCAGTAAATAAAATAGGCAAGGTCCTTATTCTCATGGAAACTAGATTCTACTAAGAGAGACAGAAATAAACTCAGAAACAATTCCATGAACAAGACAATATCAGGTAGTGACAGTGATATAATGAAAATAAACTGGATTAATGTAATCTAACTGCTACTTTAATCTGAACGTCAAGGAAGCTCTTCTTGAGGTGACATGTATTCTAACTGAATACAAAAAGTATTCAGTCATGGGAGGATCAGGGAAAAAAGAGTACTCCAAGTAGAAGAATACCTGGTGCAAAGATCCTCAGGTGATTTAACAAATTTTGCTTATTTAAAGACCCGAAAGAAAGCCAATGCAGTTGGACCACAATGGGCAGAAAGGAATAATGGTATGAGCAATGTTAGAGTGATAAGCAGCAATCGGATCATGTTGGGCCAGGATAAGAAGTCTGGATACTCTTCAGAGTGCAATGGGAAGATTTTAAACAGAAAATTTTAAATAAGAGAGAGAGAATCTATTTTAAGTGTTTAAAAGATGATTCCAGTTTATAAGCCAGAATGGATTATAGGAGAAAGATAAAAATGAAAGGAGAGACCTATTAGGAGGCTGTTACAGTTGTTCTAGTTGAAAGGAGAGACCTATTAGGAGGCTGTTACAGTTGTTCTAGTTGAGGGATGATTCAGGGATGACAGGTATGAGATTGAAGGATTTGGGATATATTGTGTAGGTGGCATTTATAAAACTTACTGATGAATTGGATGAGGTGAGGCAGTAATCAAGGATAACACTTAGATTTTTGATTTGAGGAACTGGTTGGTACTATTTGCTTAGACAAGGAAGACAGGGGCGGTAGCGGGGAGTAGGTAGGGGAAGGAAAGGAGTGTTTTGGAAAGTTGAAATTTTATATCCAAACAGAGATAGAAAGTATAGTTGGGTATATGAAAATGGCATTCCAGGGAGAGGTTGGGACAGACGCAGATTCAGGCCTCATTTGCACTGCTTTAGGGTTATGTAAATTAAGGAGAGTGCAGAACTAGAAAAGAAATGAGGTCCCAAGACCAAGCCCTGAGGTACTTCAACGTTTAGACATCAAACAAAGTAAGAACTATCAAAAGCAACTGAGAAAGAACGAACTGTGAGGAGGAGGAAAACCAGAAGATGTCATGGAAGCCATCTAGGAAAACACATTCCTGTGTGTCTGCTCTACTCTCACTACTTCCCTTCTAACACCTCTGGTCTCCACACATATGTGGGGGTTTTTCCCACACAGGCAATTCTCTGAGACATCAGACGGGTGTCCTATAATTCAATTCAATTTTGACACTAATTGGAGTTAGCACAGACCCTACTGGTTAAGCACTCAGTCTCACAAGACTGTCCCTCCCACCCCCAACCTCAGATGCCAGTTGTAAAAGTCCAGGTTGTCATCTGTGCTTCTGACCAAGCAGCTATAAACCAGAGGCTCCCATGACCCTCTCCTCAAGTTTGAGCATTTATTAGAACAGCTCACAGAAATCAGGAAAACATATACCGGTTTATTATATAATAAAGGATTAACAGTCAGATGAAGAGATAAATAGGGTGAGGTCTGGAAGGGTCCCAAGCACAGAAGCTTCTGTCCTTGTGGAGGTGAAGTGCACCCCTCTCCAAGTACATAGGTGTGTTCACCAATGCAGAAGCTCTCTGAATCCTGTACTTTTGGTATTTTTATGAAGACTTCATTACAAAGACATGATAGAACATTAACTCAATATCCAGCCCTTCTTCTCTTCCCAGAGGGGAGGTGGGCTGAAAGTTCCAAGCTTTTAAACATGCCTTGGTCTTTCTAGTGACCAGACCCATCCAGGAGCCCACAAACCCATCACCTCATTAGAATAAAAGACAGACCTGTCATCCAGGAAATCCCAGGGGATTTAGGAGCTCTGTCAGGAACTGGGGCCAAAAATGAAATAGTAGAACAGAAAATGCTTAGTGCTCTTATCACTTAGGAAATTATAAAGGTTTTAGGACTTCCGTGCCAGGAACTGGGGACAGAGACCAATATATTGAATACATATTTTCTACTATTCGACAGAAGATAAGACAAAAACACTTTTCATAGAGGTGGTAGTCAACAGTATCCAACAATACTGAAAGACTAAGTAAAATAACAGAAAAATAACCTTTGCACTTAGCAATCTCTGGATCATTGGAGATCTCGATAAGAACAGTTTCAGTAGAATTATGCAGACAGCAACACTACTGGGATGGATAAGGAAAGAATGGGAAGTGAGAAAATAGAATCAGCAACTACAGACAACTCTTTCAACAAATTATGCTGTGAAATAGAAATGACAAACTTCTACATGGCAAAAATACCACAAGGAAAGACACAAGCATATAGCAAAATGGAGGGGGAAATGTTTGCAACTCTTATCACAAGCAAAGGGCCAATTTACAAAGAACATCTACAAATCAATAAGAAAAAGAACCATAAAAACAAGAAAGAAAAAAGGACAGAAATGTCAACAGAGAGTTGACAGAAAAGGACATATATATGGCCCTTAAAAATGCTTAATCACACATTAAGAGAAATGTAAATGAGGGACTTCCCTGGTGGTCCAGCAGTTAAGACTCCGTGCTCCCAATGCAGGGGCCCAGGTTTGATCCCTGGTCAGGGAACTAGGTCCTGAATGCTGCAACTAAAGATCTCGCATGCTGCAGCAAAGATCCCATGTGCCACAGCAAAAATCCCACGTGCCACAACTAAGACCTGGCACAGCCAAATAAATAAATACATTTTTTAAAAAAAGAGAGAAATGTAAATGAAAAGTACACTGGGATACTTTTCACCCATCAGGTTAGAAAAAAAAACAACTTTCATATTCTCATACATTGCTGGTCAGAGTATAAATTAGTCTTCCACTCAACCATCTACTGTGTAACTTTTAAAAATACCTATCACAATTACATGTAGATCTATGCTTTGACCCAAGAATCCCACTTCTAAAAATTTTGCTATAGATATACTCCCAGACATATGAAAGGGCATATGTTCGAAACTATTTGTTACAGCAATGTAATAGCAAAAGACCGTAAAACAACCTCAATATCTACTATCAGAGGCTGGTTAAATAAATCACTGTACGTCCATGCAATGGAATTCTAGGCAACTATTTTTTTAAAACTGAGAAGCTTTCTAGGTCTTGATATGGAAAGATCTCCAAAATATATTGTTAAGTGAAAAAAGGCAAGATACAGAAAAATGTACATATAAAGTACAATGCCTACAGTTAACAATACTGTATTGTATACTTAAAAATTTGCTAAGAGGGTATGTCTTATATTAAGTGTTCTTATCACAAATAATAATAAATAAAGAGGGCAGAAGGAAACTTCTAGAGGCAATGAGTATTTTTGTTAAAAACCATGGTGATGGTTTCACAGATGTATACTTATCTCAAACTCATCAAGTTTTATACATTAAATATTAATAGTTTTATATATGTCAATCATACCTCAATACATTGGCTTTTAAAAAATAAAACATATATATATATATTTTTTGGGGGGTGGGGGGCTGCATTGGGTCTTCGTTGCTGCACACGGGCTTTCTCTAGTTGCGGCGAGCAGGGCTAGTCTTTGTTGTGGCACGCGGGCTTCTCATTGCGGTGGCTTCTCTAGCTGTGGAGCATGGGCTCGAGGCGCACAGGTTCAGCACGTGAGCTTTCTCTAGTTGTGGCGAGCGGGGGCTACTCTTCGTGTGGTGCGCGGGCTTCCTGTTGCGGTGGCTTCTCTTGTTGCAGAGCACGGGCTCTAGGCACACGGGCTTCACTAATTGTGGCTCGTGGGCTCTAGAGCGCAGGCTCCATAGTTGTGGCGCATGGGCTTAGTTGCATGTGGGATTCTCCTGGACCAGGGATTGAACCTGTATCCCCTACATTGGCAGGCAGATTCTTAACCACTGTGCCACCTGGGAAGACCCAAAAATAAAATATATTTTATGTTTAAAATGGAGAAGAAAAAAGTGTATGTAGAGATGTCATCATTTGGGTAAAAAGGAGGGATAAGAGCAAGTATCTATATTGACTCATTTTTGCATAAATATGAACTAAATGATAAACTTGTTCAGGAAGACAGAAATTAAGCAGATGGAAGATGGGGTGGGAAAAAGGTTTTTACAATATAAATTTGTAAACCTCTTATGTTCGAACATGTGGGTGTATAAACATGCAAATTTTTAATAAAATATACTGTGAAGGGAACAGAAAAGTGCTGCAATAAATGGAACGGGATGTAGTGTCAGGTAAGGTTTTTTTCTAAGGTAAAGAGATTCTAGATCAACAACGTAACGTCTAATTAAAGGGAAACTATCTAATGTAAGTTTCAATAAAATACTAAATCAGGACTTCACTGGTGGTCCAGTGGTTAAGAATCCTCCTTCCGAAGCAGAGGACACGGGTTGGATCCCTGGTCAGCGAGTTAAGATCCCACATGCCGTGGGGCAACTAAGCCCACGCGCCGCAACTACTGAGCTTGCGCACTCTAGAGCCCGTGCACCACAACTAGAGAGCCCACACTCTGCAACCAGAGAAGAGCCCAGGTGCTGCAATGAAAAGATCCCATATTCCACAACGAAGACCCCGTGTGCCACAACAAAGACCTGACACAACCAAATAAATAAATAATTTTAAAAATAAATAAATAAAATACTAAATCTATTATTTTACAGTATTGAAATCTTGGTTAAATGAAATTCATCAAACCAGAATCCTACTCAAACTGTAGGATAAAGTGATAAAATAAAGCCATGGTCCAGAATTTTAAAATATGTTAATTAAAACCATGTTTATTTAATGTTCAGCCCAATATCCTACACACATCCTATGGGACTACTAAATTATCCTGCTAAATTAGGAATAAGATTCACAATTATCAATTTTAAAAATCAGTTACGTTCACTATATTCTTTTGAACGAGACAAAAGTTTGGACTAGCCTATCTCTACCTTTAATGGGCAAACAACAATCCATTTCCCAAGTAGCCTGGTCAAAGTTTACTAATTGTAAAATACTTGGCACAATAAAACATGTTTTGAATACAAAGGCAGCAAAAATGACACTGAAAGACAAATGTTCTTACTTAATGAGGCTATAGCACACAGCTCGTAGGGGTTCATGGTCTTTCTTCCTTATATTACTGTTAACCATACTATCTAGTTCATCCCGAGCAAACCGAAGCTGAACTTCCGTTACACTGTAACTTGCTGATTCCCGAGCACAGTCCTCAATGTTATGAGCTTCATCTAAAATGACAACCTGTTCTTTCAGATTGATATCCATCTATAAGATAAAAGAGTTTTCCTGTAAAACATTCAGCAAAATGGATTTAACAGCAATAGGCAAGATATTTCATTAAAAAATTCACACTATAGGCCAATATCACAAGTCCAGCTATATAAGCAACTGATTCTCAGTCTTAAAATTTTAAAGCACTTAGGCCAACCAAATATCAGCTCAGCATTACAGTTTTCCATTTATCACTCTCAAAATACTTGTAAACCTATCAACCAAAATAATATGTGTTAAGTGAGCCAGGATCAACATATGGCTGGTTACACAAAGGGGTATAAGGGATCTCCAACATAATATAAAAAGCAGAATAAAAAAAAAAACAACCTTTAAAACTAAAATAACAACACAAGATTCAAAAGACTCTCAAAATACTAATACAATATAGTATGTACCTATTTCATTTCAGTCTCTTCTGCAACCCTTTTGAGAAGTGCTCTTCCCCAACTCCCATGTGATGTCTGTAGGACTGTTAAGCTGTTAATCAAGGGACATCACCACTCTCATAATGTGGGTAGACTTAGAACCCAAGCTTGTCAATTAAATAAAGTATTCCATCTGTCTATGGTCACAGAGACTGGTTCAAGAATGGGTATGAGATCCAAGCTAGGCCAATCAGAGTAATTATGGGTGACTAATGTGAAATCATATTCTTTTTTCCAGGTTACCTAGCTGGAAAAAAGCTAGCTGATTATGGTTATCTTTGTTCCTACTGGGAAGAACTTGCCTGATTACAAAGTCATCACGATAGTCAAGTATATTTTTTAAGCTCTATTGAAGCTGGGTTTGTGTCAAATGCAATTGAAAGAGTCCTGACTAATACAAAATGTCACAAAGCAATTGCCACTGAGTTATTCTGAGGAAATAATAATATACAGAGGGCTGTAGATGGCTGAGAAAGAACTGTAAAAGAGTAGGAAATATACTGAGGTTTAAAAGATGAGCAGGATTTGGATTTGGATACACAAAGAGAGAGTAGGGCAATTCAATATAGGTGTAATCAAAAGCAGAGATACAGGAAAGAACAAGGTATCCTCAGGGGACCTTGAGGTAAGTTTTTGAAGAGTTCAAGTTGGGAGTCTGTAGCAGAGAAGGCTGAAAAGGCAGATTTAGGTCAGACTATTGATCATCTTGGGAGTAAGCTTAAGAAATATGACTTTATCCCATGAGCAAAGAGAGATATAAGAGATTTTTAAGCAGAGGAAAGATGTTATAAAAAAGACTGACTTGGCATTGATATATACCGTTGCTCAACGGAAAGAGCCCTAGCTGAAAGGCAGCCAAATAAGAGGAAGGATAGCAGGGGTATTAAACATAATGCCTATTCATTTTAAACTTATAGAAATAGAAAGCTAATGAAAGTTGTACAGTCAGATCTAAAGAGAGGAATAACAACTGAATATATGAAGTTATTCACTTTTTGTCTTATGCTGTAACAACTGGATGTCTCTAAGAACCAGGCAGATAAACACAAATGCTGTATCCAAATTCACTTATTCAAAGTTCACAGAGCATAATTTGCATAGTATGCATATTCTCCCAATGTAAGTTCTTCAAAACACAGATTCTTTAGATAAATGTTTTAAAATAATTCTTTCTATTCATAAAGAGATCGCTATATAAGGGACCAAAATGGGGGCAATTTTTTGTACCCCAGGGGATATTTGGCAATGTCTGGAGACATTTTTGATTATGACAACTGTGAGGGTACCACTGGCACCTAGTGGATAAAACCAGAGATGCTAATAAACATCCTACAATGCACAGACAGCCCACCACAACAAGGAATTATCCAGCCCAAAATGTCATTACCGTCAAGGTTGAAAAACCCTGTTATGATTCCATTTCAGTACTAGGTCCTTAGAAGTGCTTATTACTTTGGAAATTAAAATGACAATGTCTAAAATTCAGTTTTTAATACCCCCTAGAATATGTTTTCAATACTCTAATCTGTTTACACATTTCCATAAATTAAATATAAAGCAAAAAATAAAGTAAAAGACATTAAAACATCTAAAAGCTTTACATTCATCACTTATATCCCAATAGTAGGAAAACAGTTCTTTTAATTTTTACATATCTACTCACACTTTCCCTTATTTGTGCATCTAGAAGATAGTTGTAGGGACAAAATATTATGTTAGCATCCTGCATTAGTTCTCGTGCTGTGTAATATGGACATGCCTTTAGTTTTTTCCCCAAGCTGACGAATTCTTCTATATCCCAGGCCTTGCACATCCCTTGGAGAGTCTGTAATATGTGTTGATCACTAATTTTATGAACACCATGATAAAAATAGCAGGATTTTCCCTAAAAACAAAAATGCATAGCTGAAATATGAAGCAATACTAGAACAGAAGAAATAAAACAAGTTCACCTCAGAATTTTAGAAACATCACTAAAGCCACAAAGTAAAGATTTAACAGAGGAGACAGAGTACATACACCACATCTATAATACAACCATTTTAAATAACTATATTAGTTAACTCAGATAGAGCTCCAGATCAGTATAGCTGGAAATATCCCAAATTAACTTGAGAAACGTATTTTTAAAAGTATGTTTGTTGTGACTTTGTTCTGATTAAAGTGGTATTAGACAAAAATATTTCTGGAAGGATCTGGAAGGATACACAAGAGCAATGGTATCACTAGTTGCTTTCAAAGATGAGAGCCAAGTGACTTGGGAACAGGACTGAAAGACATTTTTCTCTATAGACACTTTTGTATCTTTTCAATTTGAGCCATGAGACAGTATTACTTAATCAAATATAAATAAGTAAAAACAAAGGAAGAATGGAAAGTGGGAAGGAGGGCAGGAGAAATGTCCTAGGGGAAAAAAGAGTATTCACTACAAAAAAATGGAAAATACAAGAGTACCAAAAAGCCCTAAATTACCTAAAATCCCATTATACAAAGAATGTACTATCAAGATTTTGATGTATTTCATTTCACATTTCTTCTATACATATATACTTGTGGATATATCTCTATAATGCGACCCAATTTTAAAATAATGAGAACAAAGCAAATTTTCCCCAGGCACTGAGGATTATTAACAATCTAGCCGCTAAATATTTTTTTTACAAAACTGGGATCTCCTTTTTTCTCTTAGCCTATTTTATTAAAAATCCTATCAGAAATATTTTTTCATATCACCAAGTTTCTTTTCATTGTTGCCTATATATGTACACTGGATTAATGTGCCACAGTTGATGAACCAGTTTATTACTAGACATTTAGACTGTTCTCAATTTTTGCTTTATAAATAATCTGCAATAAGAATTTTTATGCTCATTTCTAAATATTTTCTTAGTATACAGTTTTAGAAATGGCATTATAGGATCAGAGTAAAAATATTTTTAAGTTTCTTGAAAACCATATCACCAAATTATTCTCCAGAAAATGTACAGCATTTTACATTATGCTTTTTCCACACCTTTATCAACATTATTATCTTTTCTTATCTTTGCCTATTTTAAAGGTAAAAATAGAAGACTGTTGTTTTGATTTGTATTTTTCACACTTCCTAGCAAGGTTTAACATTACATTGTATGAACATTCTAAAAAGTTTCAACAGTAAGTTGCATACCTTCTTTCATGTACTATTTACTAATGTCCTTTGCCATTCTATTATTAGAAGTAAAAAAATTTTATTAACATACACCAATCAAAAAATAAGATGTTTGATAAAATCCAGTCCTAGCAAAGGTGTGGCATATCCTATTAAAAGATGTATAAAATTAGAAGTATAAACTTCTACTTCTATTAGAAGTGCACTGGAAATTTGTCAGTAACTACCAAATAAAATTTCACCATTTAAAGATATATATACTGCACTGTTTAATAGCCCCCCCAAATTGGAAATAAACCAAACGTCTACCCACAGGGGATATGTTAAATAAATTGTGGCAAAAATTCAAACAAAAGATATAGCCCTTAAAAAATAAGTTAGATTTGTCTATGTGCTGATGGGTTTAAGCTTTAAAAATAATCTATACACATACATTATAGAAAATACATATTTTAAATGTTTTAGAAGAATACACATAAAACCTTACAGTAGTTCCCTTAAGGGGATGGAAAGAACTGGAAAGAGAGATCTTTTCATTTAATGCCTTTCTGTAATTTTGAGTCTCTAACCATGTATTAGTTACTTTTCTTTTTCAATTGTCATTTGGGACTAAGTGGTGAAATAATGAGCCATTTTAATTCATTAATTTTATATAACAAAAAAAATTAAATGTGATTTTGAAATCCATTATTTATCTTTCCCACTTTGCTGTCCTTAACCAGTGGGGAAATATGTACATGTGTGTGTGTGTGTGTGTGTGTGTGTGTGTGTGTGTGTGTATTTTTATCTATGAACTATACAAAAGGCAAATCTATGTTTTTAAAACATTCATACATCATTACATACACAAAAATATCTAGACATTGCTAGAAATGGAGTAAATCATAAAAAGGTCATAACCTCTAACAAACGTAAGGTAGATAGCTAGTGGGAAGCAGCCGCATGGCACAGGGATATCGGCTCGGTGCTTTGTGACCGCCTGGAGGGGTAATAGGGAAGGTGGGAGGGAGGGAGACGCAAGAGGGAAGAGATATGGGAACATATGTATATGTATAACTGATTCACTTTGTTATAAAGCAGAAACTAACACACCACTGTAAAGCAATTATACCCCAATAAAGATGTTAAAAAAAAAAAAGGTCATAACCTATAAAAGAATGTCAGCAAATCCAAGGACAAGGCATGATCAGCTGAGGACTGCTAATTCTAAAGCCATGCTGCTTATTGGTCCTCCAAGGTATTAAAAATTAAAATTAGGAAGAAAGGGCTCACCTAACCTTCTTTATTTGCTTCATTTTTATATTATTTTCACTTACTTTGTCTAATCTCTACTACTCTTTTCTACCCTTCATGCCATGTCAACTTCCCTACA